CCAAGTATCTCTATACTTCAACCTATGAGATCTGTTGCTTACTTCTCAAGTAAGAAATATAAAATGTACCAGTCTCTAGGTATCATTGATGTCCAGTCTCAATTATACATTGACCAAGAACATTTTTTAGATTACGCTTTAATGCATAAGAATCTCATAACTGTAACCCCTTACAATGTCCTTGCAAGGCATATTAATCTCATGGACTTCATCCAATTAGACTTTATAACTTGTTATAATTGATGTCTTATTGATAAAGGAAAACCTTTAATCATTCAATATAAATAATGTTGTTGCATGATTGGAATCAAGCCTTAACCAATTGCAATTGCTTGCAGGGCTCATCCCAACATTGTCCACTTCTCTTAACTTTCTCTATACTTGATGCTCTTTAACCCGAACAAGTTTTCAAACTTTTCGTTCCAAATCATTAAAAGTTTTTTAAACTTAAGAGCTGCCCTCAAAATATTTTTAAGTGCTATTCACCCCCTCCCCCTTTAGCACTCCATTAGGACCAACAGAGTCGAACTTGAAAATTATCCACACTCCATGAAGCCAATCACAACTGGATTTGAATCTTAGGGGATTCAAGTCAATCCTTTTTGTAGGGATTGGACCCAGATCTATATGGTGGTTTTGACATGACAAATCTTAAATGGAAGATCCATCATAGTATACATTTTGTACTATATGTGCTATTAGTCAACCGATAAAAAGAAGTGACTGAATAAATCCATGCTTCATCATTGTGTGAGCCCTAAAGACTTATGTAGTCCAATCCAATAACTTTTAAGACTTGGATCTATGATATGAGGTTGAGATTTGGTAATGCTAGTTTAGCATTATCTCCAAAGGTCAAGAATGACTTGATCTAATGGAACATAACTAAGAACGCAATTAGATCTTAATAGATTCATATGAATATCGAAAAAAGAGTCATTAAACATCTCACATACATGGTCTATAGCTCATTAACCAAGCGATTATAAAACATTAGTTGTTAGATACAATTATAAGTTTAGATGCATAAAGTGATTCTAAATAACTCTTATGTGTAAGAGGGATCAAAGATGCAAAGTCTTATGTGATTTAAATAATTTACAATATGAAAAGAACTTAAGCAGTGTTATGTAAGTAAGATGATACTATCTCACTACTCACAGATACCCTTTTCTCGTTAATCACATGTTCCATTTTCTCTATATGACAGTAAATGGATAATAAGTTAGATTGAGAGTTGTATACATTGATATCAATATGTATGAGTGGGAAATGCTGCATTTAGATGTGATGCATCCACATGGCATGTAATTGTGTTAATTATTTGTGAATAATTAACTAATATTTAATTAATTAATGTTAGATACTATTATGATATTTCGTACTTAAATAATTAGACAACATTTATCAAATAATTGAGATAGAATATAAATTTAAATTTAATTTATTTAAATTTAAATAAAAATTATCTATGTAATAATCTTTAGTGGATATATAGAGATATTGTACCTCTCTATTCCAATAAAATTAAGATATTATCTCTATATAATAAACAAACAAATTAAAATTTTCTAAATAAGAAAGAACGTCAGTTTTTTAGTAAGTGAGAAAACAAAAACACTTTTATTTTCGACATTCTTGAGGCACCACCGTCTAAGGATTTTGGAACATGTAATTAAAAATGGAGGACTTTGGTGGCCACTCCATAATGACTATAACAGAGAAATCATTGTGTAACTATTGTATGCACGTTTGGAACATGAAAGAGGATTCGTAAAACAAGCTTTTCAATCAGAAAGGGAGAAGAAAATTCATTCAAAAAGATAAGCCCACCTCCCAGCGCAACTGTCAAACAAGTACCTATAGATACAACAAAGTGACCAAGTTGCACCATAGTTGCATCCTTGAAGATGTCAAAAGTCGAAGAAGAGCAATTTACCCACATGAAACCATAGCATTGCTCCAGGAGAACACGATTAAAATTTGATCAAAGGACAGTCAATCTCCAGAGTAACCTCAAACAATGGGATATATCTACTTCTCACTCCCGTGGTCGGGCCAACCAGAGAGAACTGAGAGCTCGAAGCCTAGAAAAATAGTCATTTATTGCAAGAAGGGCACGAGCTGATTGCCTAGTTGTCAAGATACGGTGCATTTGTTGCAGTGTTTGCTGTCGCAGATTATCAGCCTAATATGCACCAAAAGAAAAAGATTATCAGCCTGGTGACCAACCTGGAAAAATTACTTGATAAGAGTATAACTTGATTTGAAACCTAAGATACAGTTATACAAAAGAAAACTGCTTTTACAAACTAAAAAATGGAAAAGACATTATCCTGCTGACAAATATTGCAATAGTCAATTTTTACATGCTGTAAAATGTGGAAGCATCACAATTTCCTTCTTCAATCATGAGAACAGACATCTTCTATCGAGAACCAAAGAAGATTAAATGCAAGAATGATTCAAATTAACGGGCCTTTTATTCTGAATACAATTGAAACCATTCACATCAAATTTTAACATGTTATAAACAAACACCTTGATTATGTTAAGACAGGATATCCACACAAGAAAACTGTTACCCCACTGTTTGAAAAGAGGACAAAGAAAAGGTTCAAATAGGTCATGTCGGAGAGCACCCTTCTTCTTTCTTCTTCTTCTCTCTCCCTCCCTCCAACAATCAAATCACTTAACATATGGAAAAACAAATTGGAAACAATTCATATTGCACCCAAAAGGAAAGTACCTGACGAACGAACCCCTCAAGGGTCCCTAGCTTTCCCATGGCCATGGCCATTTGACCCATATAGTTTGCCACATTCCCCGATGATCCTGAGGGACCAGGTGAGCCATTGGTCAACGTCTCAGCCAAAGATTGTTGCAATGCTTCCATCCCTTGTGACAAAGCATCTTCAGCCTGTTGGGATGATTGCTGCAAGTTGTGGATACCCATAAACTGTTGCTCAGTTAAAGGCTCCAATTGATTCGCAAGAAGCTGAATAAAAATCAATTAAGATTAAAAATGGTCAATAAACTAACAGGGGAAGAAAAAATCTATGCATCAGAATTTATCTTAGAATAAAAGAAGGGGAAAACAACACAATTTTACATTAATCATTAAAAATCAAGAACTCTGAGACTTTGTTACATGACTCGGGATCATCAAATACAGGTGTATGTTTCTTACACAGGTATGACGTGTTGTTGGCAATGTTTTATATTAATTTGGAGGATCTAAGCACCATCCCACGTAAACTTAAAGTGTAAAATGTGGATACGTTAGGATAAAGTAAACAACAGATGTAACATGGCTTCAAGATCAACAAAATGGGTAAAGACAGTTTAGTTCATCACATATTTTCGTATAAAACAGCTAGAATTGAGTACAGAAAACCACATTTATCAGAATCAGACTAGACAATTGATTCAAGGCTTCATATCATCAGGTTAATGGTTCAACAATCAAATCATTTGAGTCAATCGTTGGTAAGTTAATAAAATATTTTAAATATTACTATTAAAAAAAATTATAGCTTATGTAAAAGATAATAAAATATTGTGAACAATTTTACAAATAACAACTTAAGAAATAAGAATTAGGAATTCATATCATTAGAAAATTACAAAAAGCTAAGCTTACAAAAATTGTTTTTACTTTTAGCTTTCATCTTTTCTGTAAAAAAATAGGGAAAAAGTTAATATGAAAAAGTTCGCTTAGTTTTGACTTAAAAGTCATTTTGACAAGTCCATATCCCACCCATTCAGGTAAAAAAAAAAACCCTAATTGGTCATGGATGTATCAAAAACCAGTGAGTCAATGCTGGTTTTTCCATGTCAATAGCATAAACAGTCCAATTGAAGAACCCAACTGCATCAAGGGCAAGGTCAACCAGTCTGGGTCTACTAATAAGAATACTACCCAAAGATGGTGGTTATGCTGCAAAATATACAATCAACCCATAATACAGTTAGCCAGAAAACAAACTTCAGAATTTTTTTTTTCTTGTTTCATTTTAAATGAGGATATATTGCTGAAACATAAAACAAAGTTTCAAATACATTAAATAAGCTCAAACAGGGCAAGGCAGCACAAGCTCTATTGAACAGCATTCAACAGAAGCATCGCACTGTTATTGCATTATGAGCATCATATCCTAATGCTTCAATTAGAAAATCTAAAGCAAACACCCCAGCATCCCAAGAAACCTGGTTGCCATCATATGCATCCAGCTCAGTGGCACAACAAATGTGTCTCCAGTCCTCCAGCAAATTTTCTAAGGTGACCACATATTTTGAAGCTTAACTACCCACTGAATGTGATAACGCAAAAAGACGAGCTTAACCTAACTGTCCTTTTTTCTGAGTTGGGACCACATTCCTTAAGAAAATACTAGATTAAAATCAAAATTAAAGTTCCAGTTGCTTGTTACCTTTGCTAATTGTCTTCTACTTCCAGAAGCAACAGGTAAAAATGTTTTGGATACAAAAATAATATTTTGAAATATTAAAATTTAGATATTTAACTTTTATCAACAGTAAAATACATTACTTTTATGGGAGAACTATGTTTGAATTGATTTTTTATCTTAAACATTATTTATTTTTAATCAAATATAAAAGATTTAATTTTTACAATTTCCTTTTGTTTTAGGGTGACCCTACTTCAATGCATGCTTTGGGTGGCTCCCACCTCCCCAGCAACAAGAATTCGCATTTAACCAAAACATGTGTGGAAAAAGGATCACCCATTGCCTAATAACAAGTTTTTAGGAAGCAAAATGCAAATAACAAAAGTTAAAAGCAAGCAGCAAAGCCCCAAAATATTTTCTTTAGTAAATGTTCAGATTCAAGAACCAGCAAATTAGTAATAAATCTAACTCCAATAAAGTTAAGATGTGTAAATTCTGAGGGACCACTTTCTGAGGCACCCAAATATTGAAACCTTGCATGCACCATGACAGCAGTCCCTCTGTAGAAGAAGACTGGAGCTCACCTTAAGAAGCTCAGATGAACGGAAGCCACCAATCCACAGAAAACACCGCTCCGCTGGTGTTTTCCACATTCCTGACAAGATATGGAAAACATCAGCTTTCGCCGCAATGCCTTTCAATCTGAAAATGTCATCAAAATGTGCTGTGACATTGTCAACAATAGTACGAAGTTCAGTGTCACCAGCATGTGAATTGACTGCAGCCCTTAACTCATTTATCTGCCTATTATGCTCCTCCAGCCACCGTGCATACTCAACATCAAATGCCAGGGCACCTGTACCAGCAGTCCATAAAAACAATATCTTAGCATAGTAGATGCATTGGTAGATAGTGAGATCAAAATCATAGACAATAAAAAAATGAAAAGATTAAAAGCACTTCCTTTTAATTTTGGTTCTTTGTCTCAAAGAAAAAAAGGGAAGAGAACGGAAAAACCATAAAAACATAATTCACTATCACATAGCAACAGCAGAAAAAGTAAGGTCAATAAAGTTCACACAAATGGAAGCCAAATTAAAAAAAGAAGAAAACAACAATCACTTCATGTCCACGCCAAGCCAAACAATGGCACCAAATTTTATTGTAGATAAAAATTCAGCAATTGAAAACATCTATCCAATAACACTAGACCTTAAATACCACGAAGACCAAAGCAGGAAACAGATAAACTATTTCTACAACAGACACCCAAGCTAGAACAGCATTTGAAACTCTTTTAAAGTGATGAACTCTGTCCCTTGAATTTAATACCCTAACATGGTACTCAATGCCAGACACAAGCAGAAACAGTATCTTCTGTACCTTGTTTTTCATTTTTCAGTAATCACACATATCCACACATGTATAGCTACTGTAAAGTAACATTTCCAACAAACTAACAACGCAATAAACTTGAATTCCAAGCCCTAGCAACAAATCACCAAAACTGGATTTCAAATTCCAACTATGAAATTCACCAATAGCAAAGGCTAATAAAGCTTAGATACCATTTCCACTCATTGAATGGGATTGATCTCCTGAGCTTGAAATAAATATGCCCTGCAGTGAAAAAAGTGGAAAAAAAAAAAAGAAAAAGGATATGTAAGGCATAATGGACAGTGTTATCAGCCTGAACATCATAAAATGTAATTGATGGGATTAACACAAAAGAAACCTGCTGACGAGCTCTCTGCAGCTCCTGCTCAAGTTGGGTCAGTTTCAGTCGGCTACTCTCAAGCTGCTGCACATATGCCTAGATTTTGAAAGCAGAAAATGGTTAACAATTAAGGAATACACTAATAAATTCTGCAAACTGAGCTTTAATTACTGGAAAAAAAAAACCATAAACTGATTGTAATTTTGCACTTTCCTCCCATGTTACTCGGACTAGGGCTTGTGACTCAGATTGGGTATGTCTCTGACAAGGACACATTTAATTTTATTTTTTTTCTTTAAGTTTTTCCTTTTATTTGGAGGTTCAGACGCGCATATCCATGTCCCTCAACTATGTGTCAGACAAGGATACTTTTAAGGAAAATGAAGAGTCAGAGCAACATAGTTTCCTCATATTTCCAACAAAAAAAATTCCCTGAGGAAATTACTTGCATTCATCTGGACAACAAAATTTTTTTTTCAACTTTTATAATGTTTGAGAGGGGCAACCAATAGAAGTTAGAGGTGTGACATAAGTGTGTACTTGCTACACAACTTTACAATGGATTTTACAAATTACCACTAAACGGAACTTATAATAAGACACAAAGAAACTGCACATTGCTAGATAATTGCCACTAGAATATCATAAAAGATTCAGTGTAAAGAAATGGTAAAATTGAAAAGATTAAACCAAGTAATGAATGAGATACCTTTTTCCTTAACCGGCTTTTTCTTGCAGCCTCACGATTTTGAGCAAGTCTACGCAATGTCTGCAAAGTAGACATTGAGAAGGAGAAATAATAAGTTCAACATGATAGTATATCAATAAACTGCATTAACAATCAAATATTATGGTTCTTCCAATTAAAAAAACTCTGACCTTCTGATCTGTTTTATCTTTTGATCTGTCACTAGAATCAGAGGCCACAATAGCATTTGTTTGACCTCTTTCAAACTGCACAAAAGGTTGGTGCATTCACAATGACTATTAGCCAGCAGGCAAATTCTCCAGCACTGAGTGTGTGTGAGTGTGTGTGTGTGTGTTTTCATGAGTGCGCTACACATGCAATTTTTCTTTTCTTCTTTATTTCTCAATGATGTAAGAAGAAGTAACTTCTGAAATCCATAAGTTTAAATTAAAATTACAACCCAAAGAAGCAAAGGTGTTTCACTAATGCATCTTAAACATAGAATTTTATACATGAAATCAAAGTTAAGAGGCATCACCCTTTGATTCTTCTCATCAGTGTCATCTGTTGAAGTATCAGTCCTAGGACTGGCATCTGCCATATTGGAATTCCCCCAATTCTCCCAACCAGCTGATAACGATACAAGATTTGGTGAGGTATCTTTTTTAAGCGTTAATGTTTGTAAGCCCACAATGGCAGCAGAGAGATTGTTGTCTGCAGATGCAAGTGTCTTCATCCCCCCACCCAAACACACACATGCACAGAGAACTCTAAGTAACTAACTTTATGTTAAAAGTTTGAAGCACAAACACAACGTTTTATAGGAGATAAATGCCCACCTTATTTATAGCACCAAATTGAGCATCTGCTATTGCTTGGGGTACTTGACTGTATTTGATTAAATAGAGGATCTAAAGACAAGAACATTGCCAATCAATAATATATATCAAAATAAGGTCCCTTAGGAAAGGAAGAAGACAGAAAATGCTAAATCCACAATTAACTTCAATTTCATAACAAGAAAAGTAAACAGTGCAATATGATGGCAACTTTAATACAAGGAATAGCAAAACCACACAGCCACAGGAGAAATCTTGAAAAAGTTTGGTTTATGAATCGCTTTCCTCACCTTACCCCCAATTTTATGCTTTTTGGCAATCACATTTACAGAAAGCTTCATCCTTGAGTTGAAATAATAAAACAGAAGACAAAAGAAAAGAAAATGATTTTTTTCAGATATTGTGTGCAAAACGTTGCTGAGAACATGGTCCGGTACTAATTACAGCCTACAACCTCATCCACTAAGTAGTGGAGAACTGGGAGCAAATCATTAAGCAACCCATATTACTCATAATATATGGCAAGTTGCAAGAGACAATGCACTCATGCTACAATATAAAGAAATAAAACAAGAAACACAACATATTCTAGTCATAAGTTTAGTAGGAAAGTAGTAAGAATGCATAATGCAATTCAGTTTCCACGAAATGAAAAATGAAATTCTTGCATATGTCCATTAGTAGAAAATTGAAGACCATCACTACATACTTCTGCCATCTATGCAAAATCCAAGAGATTGCACAAGGGTTCCTAAGTCTGCTATTCAAGAAGAATGAATGGCGTTTGCCTCTGCCACTGAAATAAGTCATCAAAACCACATGTTCTAAAGTGAAGCAATATAATCCAATAACTAAAAGATCAAGTCCATATTCCCAAGCCAAGAAGAAAAGGTTAAATAGGAATATTCCATGATGTGAAACATGGCACAAAAAAAAAAAACATCTACACTCTTAAACGGCCTCTATTTATCTTAATGAGGCCAACCACACATTTTCACAATCATATCAATTCAAAATGTTCAGCATCCCAGTTTTGGGATCATATTTTGATCAACCTCTTATCAAGACCAGTTAGCATGTTTTGGTCAAACTCTAACTCAAAAAAAAAGACAAATTCTCACACTCTCAAATAGTACTGATTTTTGAAACTTGCCATAAGTGGAATACTATCAGGAAACAGAAGTCAATAAACCAAAAACCAGTGTGGAACAGAAGTCAACTGGCATAATGATTAAAAAAGATTCCACATGCTTTCAGCTTAATATGGATTCTTACAAGTGCTAACGTGAAGAGCATCCACAGATTGGCAATTATCAAATATAACCACACAACCAAACTACCTACGGACGGAAAATAAAATGGCTCTTTATCACATAACGCAAACCTTTCAGTCAATATAATACCATTGTTTCCCCTTAGACACAAATGACAAATCAACAACATAGAAGACAACAAAACAATATATCAACTCCCTGACTCAACCCCTTAGGAACATTAATGGCCTATAATCATAACAAACATAAAAGCCTTGAATTTTCCTCCTCCCATCAAAAACTTTCACTTCAAACAATCAACCAATTCTACCTTGCAACAAATCAATACAAAGAAAAGAGAGGACTTTCTAAGCAACCAAAGACATGAAGAGTTGGCCAGTACAAAGCTCATAGGGAAGATGAAAGACATTAATGAATTAGTACAAAACAGTTAACAGAAAATTCATAAACAATAGAAAATCAAAACAAATTTAAAACTCAGAACAAAGCCAATTTTGAATATAAGTGTAAAAACACCTGGGATTGGAAGTGGGTACTGTAGGAACGTAGCTCGGCATCGCTGTTACAGCTTTCTTATCATTTTCTATACCAATATTCACCGCTCTACTTCCCATCAATCATCACGAACCATCATCATCATCCGCCACCTCCTCTTTTTTATCCTTTTACAATAATCTCCACTTCTACCACTTCAATTTCTTCCACTGAGGCAACCAAATACACCCAATAACTCAGAGAAAGTCACCAAAAGGAAATTCCTAAGCTATATTATAATCAAAATTCTCAAACTAAAAACAAGAAGCATTCCACTAGCTTCACCTACTATTCCGTACAATTTTGCAACAAAAAATTGAAAAGAACCCAGAAAGATACAACATGAAAAAAAAAAAAAAGCCAAAACTCAAATTTAAATAGAAACCAAATAGCAAAATAATTGAGTTTCAATCATAAAAAGGGGAGTAAAAACCAAATCCCTGAACTGAGCTAACCTGGCTTTTTCTTTAAAGTTGAAAATCAAAGCACCAACGATTGCATACAGCTCCAACTAAGAAGAAGCAGCTAGTTCAGCAGGAAAAGAAGGAAGTGTAAATTTTGAGGAACTAAGCAAGGAAAGAAAAGAAAAGAAAAGAAGAAGAGTCAAAGAAAAGGAAGGCTTATGTGAACGAGGAAGATAAAATAAAATATTAATAAAGAATTAATCTATTTTTGACTTTTAAATCGTACATGTATGAGTTGGTTTATACATGTAGTATACAGCACATAATTAATGTAATAAAAATAAATTTTAAAAAAATATCTTTTCTTAACAAGTATTTTTCGATAATTCATCAAAAATCTTAAACGTCATTAATAAATTTTATTAAAGGACTAAAAACGCTGCTGTACTTGGGGTTTTTCAATTCCATTTTTTTTTTTTTTGTTTTTACTTCACCTTTATTAATTCTCTTTTAGGCTTTGTTTGTTGAGCATATGTACCGAATTTCTAGGTCCAATAAAAATTCAAATGTTTGCTGCAGCTGTGATGATTCAAATTCCCAGTCGCGTGCTTAGCAGGATCACGAGCATTTCTTGGGTTGAAGAGGACACTGCCTGATTGTCACCACCGCAAAATGAGACCTCAGATCCACTCTTCTCGAACTCTCCTTGCACGTTGGTTTTATGGGTTAATTTCCTAATTTTCTTTGTCATCTGTGTTGTTGAATTATGCTACTACATTTGCCTTCTGTCAAATCTGCAAGCTGCGATGTTTGGGTCCCAAACCCATGGCTACGATGGTGGCGTCGTCGCCTATGGTGGGGTTTTACTTCTCATTGCTTCTTTGTTTCCTTCTCGCTTGCTCTGTTGTTTGATTTGTTTCCTTCTCATCTCTTGAGACGATGATGATTGTAGCACCAAAAACAACTGTGTAACAAAATTGTCTAAAAGTTCACAGGATTTAGGTGTCCAATGGTATATATTATATAATCTTGAGACAGGAGATTATTAGTATCAAAAGTGTATTATGATCGAAATTTAAGTATAATTTTTTTATAATATAAAAGTATATTTTAGGATTATTATATTAAGCAAATATCTTTTCTGAATCAAATAAAATTATCGGATAAATATTATCTATAATTCCAGTTTCACTTTCTTCTTAATTTTTAACTTATTTCATTTGGATCTTTAACTTTTTAAAATTTTGAGAAAATATTTACATGAAATGACAATAATATTAATATAGCTTGCCACAGATTTTATAATGCGGATATTAACGGAGAATTTGATAAAAAGATTAAAATGCAATTATTCTCAAAAGTTAGGGATCCAAATAAAAACTAAATTCGATTAATCTTGTAAAGAATACAGCTAGATAAAAGAGATTAGTTAACAAGAGTCTCCTCTAAAAAATATTTCATTAATTTTTTTCTAAAATCGATTTCAAATAATTAACTAATCCAAGTCATTGGTTCACATTTCTTTAATAATTGATGTATTCTTTTTCAAAGAATACATGTATTGATCCTCTTTTGCTGTCCTGATCCACTGCTAACTTTCTTCCCATTTTCAAAGCCACCCACTCTTTCCCATTTCTGTTCTGTCCTTTTTATTTGTTGCCGTTTTTGGATCTTTCAAACTTTAGCCCTTCTATTTCTCTTGGATTGGTAAATTCTATTTCTGGCAATTTGTTACTAAACAAGAAACATGAGAAAGCTTTCTATTACTTTTATTTTTTATTTTTTAACTGAATATATCATTATTATATAAATTTAATGGTAAAATTTAAACATGGTATTTAAAAATTCTTTAAAATTTTTTAAGTAAATTTTTATTATTATATTACATTCAGTTAAATTTATATACTTTTTAACAATGTATTACTAAAAAATGATAAATTAATGTTTCTTGTTCCATTACTTTTATTTTTAATTTTTTAAAGGGATATATAATTATTGGATAAATTTAATGTTTATTACTTAAAAAACTCGTGAGTTAATCAAAAAGTTTTAAATAAATCAATTTAAATTATTTTTTTTAAAAAAAATGACGAATATCTTATCTATTAACGTCTCTACCTAAGTCTCATCTCTCGTAATCAATAATTGACTTATAAAATTCACTTTATAACTACAAGTTTGTGTAGGGTTAGGACAAAGGGTGTTTACATTGGCGTTGTGGACATTAAAAACGTGCGTAAATTTCTTCAAGGAAAAACGAAAATAGTATCTGGAAATAAAACAAATTTAGAGTACTCCCAGCCGCCAGCGCCATTTTACAATTGCCCAAAGACTTTTATGTAAGTTTGTTACAAAGTTCAAGTCAAAACCGTCTGCACAAATGCTGCGGACGATATTAATTTCAACTTCTTATTTTATTTATTTAACCATTAACTAGTATTTATTATTAAAAAATAATTATGGTATACTCCATAATAGTAACTAATAAATAACATAATAATTATTAAATGAACTCATTTACAAAGTTTAAAAATTTCTTTATCAATATTTATCTATCATTAATTTGGCTTTTTCTTCCAAATTCTAGCATATTTTAAGTATATTTTTCTTTCGTTGAGAAAATTTTCAAAATGTTTAAAAAAATTTATTAATCTCGACACTTTTGTTTCAACTATTTGTTCCGAATGATATGACAAAAATCATTTTATTTATATATTTATGAATTAATACTTCTCATTTATAAATTTTTTCAATTTTTTTAAAGATAAATGATCTCCATTTCGTTTTTATGTATTAGCATTAAATATGAATACTCCATCTGAAAATTTCAAATGTCATTAATAGATTTAAAAAAATAATTCCAATATTCACATTGTTTAATTTGTTACCTTCTTCCTTTGTCTCTTTCCAAAACTATAAAAATTCTAGGTTTCTCCTTTCTAAAGAGATTCCTTTTGAGTTCTATGGAAGTCTTTGTCTTTGTGTGTTTGAAGATTTTAAAGAGAAATTAGTTTTACAAAAAAATGAAAGAAAAACGATTGAAAGGTGAAGTTGTAGGAGGGGTTTCTTAATAGTCAAAAGAGATTAGAAAAAGAAATTAAAGAAATCGCCGGCGAAAGTATTGAAATAGAAGAAGAATTTAGCAACAAAAGGCTTGGATCCACATCTCTGTCTATGACGGAGTCAAAATGGAGGCGGCTACCAATTCCGGTATTTCGGTTTTTAATGTTTTATTATATATAAAAATTTCGAAATATATAAATTAATATGTCTCAACTGTAAAATCACCAATAAATCTAACTATTGGTTGGGGTAATGTGGCAATTAGAGGTCCATAAACTCATTCATTGTTAATGGGTTAATGGGCTCAAAGTTTTAAAACCAGATAGCATCTTGGTGGTCCTGATATTGTAAATTATTTTCAAAAACCAAAATAAAGGATGAAAAGATGACTTTGAATGTCCTAGGAGAGGATTTGTGGATTAATAGAGTAGATGAATAGTGAAATTAAGTAAATAGAAAAATAATATAGGTATAAATAGAAATTTTAAAATAGAGTTTGGTATGAGGAAGTTTGAGCACATTTTTTGTAACATGTCTAATTAAATTACTTTGTAGTGTTTGTTTTACGATAAACTATTGTAATATAAAATTACATTATAATCACATTACAACTGATAGATGCAATACTATTAAATATATTTTTACCCTTCAATTTAAAATAAAATGTATAATATAAAAAATTATATTAAGAAATAAAATAAAATATGACATTAAAAATATATTTAAGAGATGACGTTATATAAAAATTAATAATAAAAAAATACAAGTGTATTAAACTTGTTATGAATATTTTTGTGAATATCCATTTATATTATATATATTTAGATTCGGATATAAATTAGATTGTATGAATATTAGGATTTAATCCATCTAATCCCTTATTATTTTCTTCATATTGCAAATTCAATCTAGATTAGGGGTTATTAGCCCATAAATAGGCCTCTTCACTTCATTTGTAAATGCACACTTGAATAAGATCTTCTTACTCTCTCTAAATACTTGTTTTTATATTTCTCTTATAGTTGTTCTGTTAAGATTTATTTCCTAACACATTATCAGCACGATCCTTTCTAATATCTTAAGTTTTAGAATTATTATATTTTCATTATTTTCAAGCTTCAAAAGGATTTCAATGATTCAGTTTTGATTTATAATTTTAGCAAATCATGTAAGTGTTGCTATTATTTTGTTTTTATCATCTCCAAACTTTAAAAGGATTTTAATGGTTAGTTTTTAATTTATGTTTGTAACAAATCAAGTAAGTGACTTGATATCTCTTTAATATTTTTATTCTCTAAAAATCAACTTTAATATGAATTTTGCTATCATATAGTATATATTATATTATGTCCCTTGATTGAAAAGTGAATTTGCTATTATATAGCTATTAATAAAAAATCATAATGTCCATTCCTTAAAGTGAATATGACAAACGAGCTACTAATAAAAAATTATAAATTTGCCTATTCCTTGAAGTGAATGCAACATCATTTAATAATTATGGTCCTGGTCATGAATTTATTTATTTCCTAAAGTGAATGTCATATCATTCAATAATTATGATTATGTATATGGAAGAGATTGTTATAATAATTTACACTATCACTATTTTAATTCTAAGAATAATTTTACTATCAGGAGTTAATAGATAATTTTACTATCAGAAGTGGATGAATGCCGTAACCTACTGACCCATCAAAAGTGAATAATCCATAAAAAAAAAAAGACAGATGAATACTTTCAACCCATCAGAAGTTGATGAATAATGAAAAGATAAGAATGGAAAGAATAAAAGGAATATAAAAAACGTAGTGTCACTAATGTGGCATGAAAAACCATTGGTTATGTACCTGTTGTACGTCTTAAATTTTATCAAGCATCACTTAAAACTAAAACATCTTGTGATGAGTTAACCATGGTCAAATTGATAAAGCATATCAAGATATTTATCCACCTTGAAAAAGGAATTGATTATATGATTGGTAATGAAAATATCCATGGTTGATTTTCTTATTCTGAAAAAGAAATTGATCATTTAATTGGTAATGAGAATATCCGACAATGAACTTAATGTAATTGGTATATTGTAGTATAACTATATTATGAAGATGCTTTATTATGTTCTTAAAATATTTAAATGATATGTTCTTATTATGTGTTTTAATTATGTATTTAATGCTATTTCATGT